CTATGCCTGCATTTTCACTAAAATTGAAATATCTCACAAACTGTAAGTCCTAGGTATGCAGAACCTTTAATAAAGTTCACCTATTTTTTTACGGTGCTTTCAAAAATGCAGTAAAATACAGGGTGTTCCATTTAAAAAAACATAACTTTGATATGGTACGCTTTTCCTGGACACCCTGTATATTTCAAAATATTTTTAAAATGTAGCCGTAATCAACCTACACATACCCACCTAAACAGGTTTCTGTAACATTTGCCGTTTGGTCACTAGCGACCGAGGCGTTACTGGTGGCCCACCCTGTATATTGATCAATACGCTTCCAGAATTTCAGCAGCGTCTTTTATTTTTTCGATTTTTCATTTGTTTGCTATACTTAATGCAATATTCCAGTTTTATCAATAAGTTCTCAAAAAAAAACAACAAAAACAATTAAACATGTAGTAGGATAAACCATATAAAATGCGGTTTGTTTGTCTTCTGGATCAAACGTTGTGTAATTGTCTAATGTCAATAGACAATATGGTTTGTACGTTGTAACCATTTTTAGTAATTAAGTAAATTTTGAAAGTCCAAAGAAAAGAAACCTAATTTGTATTGTATTTCAAATCTAGCGTTGTCTGTATTTGAAAAATAGAAGATGTGAACAAATCGTGTTTTGCAATTTTGCTCCACAACGGTATTCGTAGAAAGAAAATAGGCACCATCTCCGCTAGTTTGTCAGAATAGTTCTGAAATTATTGAGCGAGAAGCTAAGGAACTGGGGAAAATGGTGCAAAAGTGCATTGAATATGGGAGTGAGTTAACTGAAATGGAAATAATTTGGTTATGTAATATTGTTATATATAGATAGATTATACGAAGAGATTCCAAAGTGTGTGAAAATTTTGTTGGGGGATACAAATGCAAAAATAGGTAGGGAGTAAATGTATAAACCCACAATAGGAGATCATAGCAAACACGAAGTAACCAATGAAAATGGAAAATTCTTAATTGATTTTGCAAAGAAAAAGAACCTGATTATAAAAAGTACATACTTCCAAAGGAAATAAATATACAAAGGAACATGGAGATCACCAGATGGGAAAACAATAAATCAGATAGACCACATTGCAATAAAAAAGCCGGAGGTAAAATGCATTAAAAATATAAGGACTTATAGAGGTTAAGACGCAGATACGGATCACTTCATGGTAGGAGCAAAACTAGATCAACAGATACCAGAAACTTGAAACCAGAGGAAGGAAAAAATAAGAAATAGAGTAGTTGCTAGGCCAGGAACCAGAGAGGAAAAAATAAAATGTGAAAGCAATCTAAGTAGAGAATTAAGTAGCAGTAATAATATTAATGAAACGACAACTATAAAAGAAATGTGGACAGGAATAAAAACAAAAATAGTAAGAGCAGGTGAAAAATACAGGAAAGAAGTGAGGAAACAGGAAAAAGAATGGTTTGATAATGAGTGTAAGGAGGAGCTAGAAACTAGAAGAAAATTGAGGCAAACGATGCTACAAGAACGAACGGAGGAAGCAAAGAATAAATATGAAGAGCAAAGAAGGAAAACTAAAAAAGTACTAAAAAATAAGAAAAGGAAAAATTATGAAACGGTATTAGAACAAATAGGAGAAAACTTAAGAAATAACAATATTAGTAATTTATACCATGGAGTGAAGAATGAGAAAAGGGGGTATCAACCAAGACCAGTATTTTATAAGGATAAGAATGGGAAGATAGTGGCAGGAGAAAACGAAATATTGAACAGGTGGAAAGAATAATTATTAAATGGAGATGAACCCGATGATACGGAAAGAGAAGAAAATAATAGCAACATAGAAGGAGACAATATGGTGCCAGCGCCAAGTAAAGAGGAAATTAAAAAGATACTGTCAAAATTGAAAAATAATAATAGTGACAAATTAACAGCCGAAATATTTAAATATGGAGGACGTGAACTAGCCGACCAATTACAGAAACTACTAGAAAGATGTTGGGTAAAGGGAGAACTGCCAAAGGAATGGACGGAAGCAGAAATTTGCCCTATCCATAAAAAAGGGAATAGAAGGGAATGCCAAAACTACAGAGGAATAGCATTGCTGAATGTAGCATATAAAATACTGGCCACTTGTATAAAAAACAAGCTGGTAAAGGAAGCGGAGGATAAAATTGGTGAATATCAGTGCGGGTTTAGACAAGGAAGAAGTACAGTAAACCAAGTTTTCACTCTGCGAGAAATTCAGGCTGAAAGCTTCGAATACGGTAAGCCAACAGTAGTTCTGTTTATAGATTATCAACAAGCTTATGACAAAATAAAAAGAAGTGAACTATATAAGGTCTTAGAGGAATTCGAAATCAGCAAGAAGATAAGGAACATGGTACGCCTAACATTGAAAAAAGACAGAGAATAAAGTAAAAGTAAACAATAGATGCACGGAAGAGTTCGAAGTTAAAAACGGCGTCAGACAAGGGGATCCATTATCAGCAGTGTTATTTAGTTTAGTGCTAGAAAAAGTCATAAGAGATGCAGGAATTAATAGATCAGGCCTTATTTACTATAAAAGACATCAGTATTTGGCATTTGCGGATGATCTTGTAGTGTTAGCAAGAAATAAAGCAGAACTAAAAGAGGTAATAAGGAGAATAGATAATAGTCAGTTAAAAGGGGACTATATATTAATGAGACAAAAACTAAGTACATGGAATGGTCGGAAGAAGAATATCAAAAAGACAAGTTTCTGAAAGTAGATACAAACAGAGGGAAAACGTACAGATTTGAAGAAGTTGAACATTTCACATATTTAGGAACCTTATTTAGAAGAAGACCGAAAATAGAGGAAGAAATCGAATCCAGAATAATGTTAGGAAACAAAAGTGTAGCGGGGTTGCAGAGAATACTGAGAAACAAAAACGTTTCTAGACAAACAAAGATAAGGCTGTACAAGACAGTGATAAGACCAGTAATTACATACGCCAGTGAAACGTGGACGTTGAATAAAGCAGAACAAGATTGGAAGTATGGGAGAGGAAAATATTGCGGAAAATTTTTGGAGGGAAAAGAACAGAAGAAGGGTGGTTTCGAAGAACAAATGAGGAAATAAAAAGCTTATATAAGGAGGCAAGTATAGTAAATGTGATAAAAGCGCAAAGATTAAGATGGATGGGACATATTGAAAGAATGTCAGGGACAAGGATACCAAAAATGGTAGTGGAACGAACAATTGGCGGTAAGAAGAGGAGAGGAAAACCGAAAACAAGATGTAAAACTGAGGTGGAGAGGGACTTACAACAACTGGGAATTGTCAGGTGGAAAGAAAAGGCAAAGGATAGAAACAAGTGGAGAAAGATAGTCAACCAAGCCATGGACCTACTAGGTCCGCAGAGCTAGATTATATATAATATTGTTATATTATTTTATTAGTTACTTTGCGTGTATTAGTTGTGAATAAACGTGTAAATTGAAGTTGAGAAGTCCCTGCTAAATAAAAATAAGTTTTCTCGAGATTTGATAATTTAATAATAATATTGTTTAATAAAATATTGATTTTTTTCCCTCAGTTGAAAATTTTGTGAATACCTACATATATTTTTTTCTATTTTATTTTTTTAGTCAAATTCTGTATTCATTGATTTAGATACAGGTTTTTAGTGTCCGACCGAAACTAGTTTTTACAACCGAAACCGAATTTTGGTTTCTATTTCAGGTTCGACCGAAACCGGAACCGAAACTTCTTTTTAAGGTAATTCTTTTGTATATGTTTTAAGTTTCTGTCCATTTTAGCTAGTTGCAAATACATGCTTGTGTTCATAAAAACAGTTGTTTAATAAATGAATAGTTTAGTTGCTTTAAAAAAACTATCCTATTTGATATGGGATGAGATTTTGGATGTATGTATTTCACTTAATAAAATAAACCTTATAAATATCAGTTTTTATTATGTATATCAATTAATAATCAGTCTCTCTGACATTCAAAGTACGAACATTCAAGTTTGCAACAACAATCAACTTATCAACCCATCATTTTAAAAGGCACATAAGTAATTATAATAATAAAAATACAAAAGAAGTACTTTGCTCAAAAAATAAACTTTATACTTAACAATATTAAAACAAAGAAAAATAGACTCGTCCATCTAAAGAAAGAAATAAATAAATAAGCGGAGGAAGCGTAAGTTATGGCACGCCACTGTGTTCGCAGAAATGATGAATTGTTGCGGATGGCGAATATGTAACAAGCAACCGACACACACTTAGGTCTTAGCTTTCATTTAATTCACAACTATATTGTATCATTTTGTAATAAATGTTTGAATAGAATTTTTAAACTTTATTTAACGGTTTAAACCAGAAACCATAACTCGTATGAGCGCGGTCTAGTACACTCGACACTCTCCATTATGCCGATCACTGCCTAAGGTAGTACTTGTCTATAGGTCGTATGAATTTCGGTTCAGTCGTAGTTTCGGGAGATTTTCTACCAAACTGAAGTTAAACCGAAACTCCAATTTAGCGCCGATACTTGCCGAAACTTGCCGAAACCGAAAGTTCGGTCGGATACTACATGTTTTGTTGTATAATTAATTCTTTAATTACAACTATATTTTTAGAATATCTTAGGTTACTATTATATAAATTAACAACTGATTTATTTATTAAAGATTTTTTGTTTAATTTTTGTAATTATTGTTAATTTTTCGTGAATTAGTAAAATTTTTTAATTTACTGAAATATAAATTTTTTTCTATCTTAAATTTCTTACTATAAAAATATAGGATGCTGATGTATAAGTTACGTGTTTTGCGATAACGACTCTGTCTTTAAAACTCTTTACTAACTTCAATAAATTAGAAGCAAGTTCAACTTACACTTGTAATTCCCCCTATTTTAATTTATTGTTCGCAAAATAGCCAAAAAATGTACTTAAGAAATGCCAAAAATAAATACGAGTACTTTCAGACTTTGGGACGTTTAAAATCATTACTCTAAAATTGTAAAATTATTTTCAGGTAAACACACTGGAAGAAAATCGATATACTTCAGTAACCTAGAGACTGCTGGAACAGTTTTGAGCAAAAATATTGTTAAACCCAAACTTACTTCCTCAGCTAATACCAACAGAAATTTTAGAAATCTTAGAAAGAATGAACATTTTGATAATGGTAAATGGAAAATTATTCGTCAAATAAACCATAATGACATTAAAGGATACCACTGGGAGTGAGTATTTCATTAACGCTTAATTTTGTCGTTGTTGCAACTTTAATATGGTGATTTACAAACGGTGAACAAAAATGAAACCTCGTATTCTTTAGTTAATTTTAAGGGGAGTATTTCTTATAAAGTTTTTATCTCGGACGCTTCGTTAAAAAGGTACAGGGTGTTAAACTTAAAAAAAAAAGTATTTTCAATTTTTTTAAATCATTTAAAAACTAGTAAGTGAAACAATTTGAAATTGGGCATATGTATTTATGTAAACATCGTCCAAAATCTGAGGCCTTTTTCTAAAACTTAGATGCTTCAGTGGCAAAGCTACAGGATATCGGTGGCATATTTTTCTAAATAAAATAATACGCCATCGCCACTACTTTAAAATATTAAAGCTTTTTCAATTCTGCTCATGACTTAAAGAATATCACTTAAAAATTAAGACAAAATATCAATGAATGAAAGAATGTTATTTTATTAAGTGTTCAAATTGGTTTCCCTCCGCTTTCAGACAATATTAAAATATTTGCTCCACTTCCGAACAAATATTTCCAAGCATTTCGGGCATTCTTCAACAATTGCTCGATAAAAAAATTTGTTTGCAACTTTGCAATAAATGCAGGACGCGACGGATCAAAGTTCCTAGACACGGTCGTCCGAGCAATGACGATACATTTTTCCTACTTAGCAAAAGTTACAGTGGCTCGTATAGAGTCACTGTAGCAAAAGTTACATTTATTGTAACTATAGAAAATAAATCAGTCTTAATTCCAATTCTTTTCTGATTAACATAAAATATACCTCTACCCCAAAATACTTCAGTTCAACTTTTTTACCTGTTTTATTAAACAGACAAGATTGTCACGTCTTGTATTGTCGAGACAATATCCTGTAAAATCACCACAAAGTGAATTCGTGAAAATTGTTTATACAATTGCAACAACAAAGTGGAAATAATTAGTTTATTCTACAAGAGTAATGACTGTGCACGGCAGGCAGCACATATTTCTAATGATCGTTATCCTAATAAAAACATTTTGCATTGGTATGTCCTGGATTTAGTGCATACATTTTCGGAAACTGGATCGGTTGCAAACAGAAAGAATCAACGTGAACAGGTCGTACGTAATGAGGGTAGCTGTCCTGGGTCACATCGGAATGGAACCAACAAGAAACTTACTACCTAGTTGCCACCCAATGAGTGATCGTGCTAGAAGGAATCCAAATTTTTTGTACTCAACCTGTTTTTCCCATGAATTTCCATCTGGATGGTCGAGTCAACCGCCATAATTGCCGCTACTGGAGTGATGAAAATCCACGCATTTTTTATGAAACTCATATGCAGCATCGAAGAAAATTCAGTGTTTGGGCGGGCATACTGGGAGACAACCTCATAGGGCCTTTCTTCCTACCGGGAAATCTGGATGAAAACATGTATCTGAATCTACTGGAAACGAATATGTATCCAGTAATTGTGGAAGTGTTGGAAAATGACAACGCTTTGCCAGAAGAGGATGTGTGTTTTCAGTAGGATGTTGCTCCACCAAATTGTGCCGTAGCTGTGCGTGATCAGAACTTTCCAAATCACTGGATAGGTGCAGATTGTTGAAGAAAGTCGTCAGATAATGTTCATTCGGAAGTGGAGCAAATATTTTATTATTGTATGGATGCAGAGGGAAACCAATTTTAATATTTAATAAAATATCATTCTTTCATTCATTGATATTTTGTCTTATACTTTAAGTGATAATTTTATTGTCATATCCAAACCAAAATTTAAAAAGGCGTATGTCGTCGTGAGCAGAATTGAAAAAGCTTTAAAATTAGGTGTCGCTGCCTAAGGGGTAGCTTCCAAGACAGCAAAACTTACGTCATCACGTGTCCTCCTTGAAACGAAAGTCGACGTGTCCCCGGTTTTTCTGTTTTTTTTTTTAATTCCGATATATTATATTTCAGGTAGGATGTTTTAATTGAAACGCCCTATATATGAGTAAAGTAAAAGTTCTTTTATGTAGGTCACCAAATTAACCGCAATTGTTTATAGTTAAAACATATTTTGAAATAAAGAAAAAAATGTAATTTTATATGAATTAAGTTAATATTTTTTTAAATTTTGAATTGAATTTTGAAAAATCTTGTTGGGTTACATTGTGTCACATATTTGTAATATTGTATCTAACGGAAATGGTATATCTTCTAAAAGCTTTATTATAAAAAAAATATAAAAATTTTGGATAACTCAAAGAAATTGTTATAAGCAAAATATTTCAAAAATAAATAGAGAGAGCTTCACAAAAATCTTTTTTTCTTGGCAAACCATACATTTTAAAACAAAGATGCTATACATATGAATAAAACAACAAAATATCACAACAACAATAAATTTAATTATAAATATTTAAAATGGCAGAGAGAAGTATCCTTCAAAGGAACTAATATATATGCTTAAATTTCCTGTTCGTGTCTGCGATTAAAAAGGTTAAATTCTTCAAAGTTCACATTTTGCACCATTTCCTCTTGCACCCGTTTTTTAAATATATGTTAATATCTATTGGAATTTGATCAGGTATTTCTGAAACTTATTAATAAAATTTATAATTAACCAGCGTAGAAGACATGAATTAGTTGCATATATTAATTTAAACAAATTAATGTCAACAAAGTGTACAAACTAATGATAACTTAGGATAAATTGCATAATAATTAACTTGTTATTAGGTTATACAACTACTTAATTATTTTAAAATTCGTATTTTTAATTACACAACCATTTGGATATCGCAACTATTAAAATAAGATCTATCGTAGTATGAGACACAAATTATTGTAAAATTGTTATTTTACTTTTTTGATTTAGATAACGAATCTATTCTAATGTTTTTACTTAGTCTTGAGAAAAAATGGAATATGCCTTTGAAGATCCTACTGTCAGAGGTGTTGGTGCTTTGTTCGCCTTGAATTCAAACATAACTGTCACTGAAGTAGATTTGAACTTTGTACGTGAAATTGTTTCCTCTATAGATATAGTTGGAGGAAGAATTAAAGTGGAAGCTAATTCTTTCTAAATAAATTGATTACATCTCACGGATAAAGTTATTTATTGAATTCTTTCTCTACCTTAGAGGGCTGATGCAATACAATAATGTTGTTAATATTAATAATAGGTTATTAAATCTTGTCTTAACTAACAGGAATTGCGAAGTTATTAAATCATATGACCCTGATATTCACCACCCTCCTTTGAATATGTTATCTCAGAAGGATATCTAACAGAAACTTACACTCCTTTTAATTTTAGAGTCAGATTATTGTAGTTTGTATCGCCATATAAGTGCTTAAGACTGGTAATTTTTATTAAAATTTGAAGATCCTAATTCTGGTTGGCAACAGTTTTAAAACATGTTTATATGTTCCTAAACCCACTTCTAAAATTCATAAATATCCGATTTGGTTTACAGCTAGTATCATATATGACATTAAAAGAAAACGTCAATTCTATAAAGGAAATTTAAGAATGATATAATTCAAGCTATTATAGAACAATATAAAACAAGATGTCAGTATATTGCGCAAGAACTATTTATTAACACTTCAAAATGATCTAACATACAACAAAAAACATTTGGTCTCATTTTAATTACTGTATAATGTTCATCTACCTCAGTCTGTAACATACCTCGGTGCAGAAAATAATAATCTACAAGATGTTCTTCTTCTTTTCCTAGTGGTTGGTTCTGATAAGACCCATGGTACCGCGGCCTTATTAGGCTTATTGTACGCCCCACTACTTAGTCCTATTCAGCAAGTACTTTTATTCTTTTAACAAAGTCCAAAAGCTTCTCTCAGCTCCTTGGATTCCAAATAGGGTCTTCCTAGGAGCGTCATTCTACTACGTGCAAATCCTGGGCAGGATATGCGGAGAGGTTTTTTCATCCACCGAGTCACATCCTCGGCAGACCTGACTATCTACAAGCCTTAGCTTATGTAGATGTTTCCTAAAGTGATAATGTCCTGTTATGAGTCTCGTCAGTATCCCGAGCCGAATTTTATTCAAGCTCTGCAAAACATATGCTCTTTCCTTCGAAGGATATTCCATGAGCTTCTTACAATGGCATGCCCTTCAGTATGTCCTGTGTTCTGTCCAGAGCTCGCCTGACCACATTGGGAGATGTACCGCAGAAGGGCTCCGGGCCAATGAACTCTATCTCGGATCTCCTCCTAGCAAGTTCCCACAAATGCCTTTGTTTCCTGGCACCCAACACAGTCTAACTGTATTATTGGTGGCAATTCAGTGAGCATTTGTAAACATTCCCACACAAGTTTTGAACTTATCTTGTGTGTGATAACAGAAAATCCACATGTCATCCGCGAAAGAAATTATCAACGTTCAAGTTTAGTGTCAACGTATTTTTCGTAGTTAAAGACAATCAGGTGAGGTACTTTATTTACGAGTACAATTTAAATAAACAAAGATTACTCCATATTGTGAGAACCATTGCAACAGATTTCTTAGAGAATCTACCCCTAGATCAACTAAAAAGCTGCAGGTATCAGCCAGACGGTGCTCCACCTCTCTGCGGAAACGAAGTATCCCGCCAATTAAATGAAATGTTTGAAGACAGGTGGATTAGACGTCTAGAACCCTGGGATTGGCCAACAAGATCTCCAAATCTGTCACCACCAGAGAAGCCTTTGAAACTTTACCTGCTGCCCAAATATTCGGAGCTGTTACAGATGGAGTAACAAGAAAGATACATAACTGTTGACAAGTAGATGGCGGTCTCTTAAGCAAATTAATTAGATTTCTGAAAATAATTACTATTCTTATTATATACTTTAATTCTGTTATCTTATTAAAATTATTTTTAATTTATCCCTACTGATTGGTAGTCAATGAGTACATCTCTCATTAGATGCTCTGCAAGTTGTACATATTTATTATCTTGTGACACTCTCCATGAATAAATAATAAATTTAGAATGTCAGCATTTGAATAAATGTTAACGTTTTCCATTCTTTAACAATAAATAATACTTAAATAAACATTCACTGTATTGACAACAATAAACTGGTGACAGTGCTCGTTTGAAGATCCACTAAAAATTTCACAGCCATCGTCGCAAGAAATTATGCGATATCCGTTGACTGCAAGAAAAACAGTAAATACTTAAAAAACCAGAAGACATAGGTCTAGGGAATCATTATACCAATCGAAAGCGAACAAAATTGTTCATCAGGTTGCGCAAAAATAAGTTGATGGTTTAAAGTTGACTAAATTCGGCATTAAATTTCTACCACCCTGTACGAAATTAAGTATTTTTGAAATTATGGCAGGGTAGCTGACAGTTTTATTTTATGTCTCCTATAAATTTTATCGCTCTAACTTTATTATTGTAAAATACACATCTTTTTGAATTTTATATAAAAAATACATATCTAAATTATTTAAAAAATAATTATTTCTGACTAAACTACGCAGAATTCGAAAAAAAAGTAGACATTTTTTCTTCAAAAAAATCTAATTCATTAAAAAATAATATTATGTGTTTGATAATTCAAAGGAATAAAAAAAAATCGAAAAATTTCTGTTAAGAGTAGTTACAAAACTGTCCTTATTTATAAACGATTTTGATAAAACTTGTGGCAGTTAAAGACCCTTATGGCATGATTATTACCTACAATTTTCATTCCGTTACCTTAATCAGAAAGAAAGTTATTTTAAAAAACATCCAAATGATATCTCAATAACGGTGCTCCGGAGGACCAATATTTATAGGAACTTTTTTTACAATTTTTGGCTCTACTTTCACCCCCTTAAATTTTGTACTAACTTTTCCAAACACCCTGTATAATAATTGTCTTATTTCAATAAAGATAATGTTACTACTTTTCAATTATAATTCTAAACAAGTTTGCATGGAATGAATGTTGTGGTTGATTTGGGTGTACCTAAATTTTGATCCAAAATTAACTCTCAGTAGTTGTATCGAGAATATTGCTTTGTCTGCTTATAAAAATTTAAGTTTTTAATTAGGTTTTCTGGAAGTTTTGATGGTATCGATCTACTTCACCTACTCAACAATGCATTTGTAAAAAGTAGGCTTGATTATGATTCGATTATTTATTTGGAATCCAGGTTACAATAACTATCCAGCGCCGACAGGTATCAAAAATTTTTAAGTTTTAAAATTGACGTATTGACTTATTGACAATCATCAAGAGCAACTGCTGGATACATTTTCATATATTTATCTTTTAATTGATATATATATAAAAAATAACTCTGGTATTTTAAAATATCATTCTTATGTTTTATTTTCTCACCCAAATTCAGCCATTACTCAAAACTGTAAAGTTGTGTGCACTACACTTTATGGCTAGCAAATTCAATAGAAAATAAAAAATGCAAAATTTTCGTTCAACTACTGAACAAAGCAAGATGCGTGTATCTAATTCTCTAATAATGAACAGAATTAGTCTCAGTGGCACATCTCACCAGAATTAGGTTTTATTATAGGTTATCATTATTTATTAATTTAGAAATATTTCATAGAACTAGGAAACTGGATGCGCGGACTAGAAGATGAGCACCGGTAAACTAAGGTCGATAACTTTTGCATTGCGCAGGTGACACTCTTATGAAACAGCAAGAAGTAGGTATACATACCCCCGGAGGTGTTTCTCGAATCCACGATCACATTCAATTGGATAATATCAGCCCCATGCGACTTTTTATAGGCATAGTTATTTTTATGGTCGACAATGGCCCATCATTGTAAAAAGATAAGAAAGTATCTATCAAATAGACTGGTCTCCTAGTCCTAATTTGTCCGATTTAAATCCAATACAGCATATGCTTAGGTTACATATATATGAAAATCTATTCAAACTCAGGAAGATCTCAGAAATGTAATTTTGGTAGAATGAGAAAATATCGAACAAGACATGATTAACAACATAATTGATAGTATGTGACACAGTATGGAGGTTATTAATAAAAATATTTATTAGTTCTAAAAAAGATAGGTATATCAATTAAAAAAAATGTAACAAAACATCTTTAGGCGTTTTACTATCATAAGTAAAAATTTTTCACATAGACATGAAATATAAAAAAAATTAAATTTGAAAATACCAAGTGGCACACTAATTAATATGCTGAATTAGTTTCTATTTTGTCAGCTTTGATAGCAACGAATTGATAATATTGATATAAGGAAAATATATTTTACATTTACTAAAAAATTATTATAATGTTTCAACAGCCTCCCTGTAAAATTGGTTGAATTTCTAATGATCTATTTTTAGCAAAATATTTGACAATAAACATCTTTGGCAAAATCCATGGCATACTTATTCATATATATCGTGATGTAATATATTCTTAGAATATTTTAAAACCAACCTTATTGAAATTGTAATTTCTTAGCTTTGAATTTATAAAAAATTCTAATTTTTCATAAGTAAAATAATAAAATTAATTTAAATTCTATTTTTACAGGTTTGAAACTGAAAATAAAATAAATGCTGAGGAATTTGCAAAATTTGACATGACAGAGAGTGATCAAGAGGCACTTAAAACAAATGGATACTTTAGTTACACTGGCCCAGACGATATGGTCTATTCTATTATGTACACTGCAGATGAAAAGGGATTTATTCCAAAAGGAGATCACTTACCTATTTCACTACAAAAAGCTCTTGCACAAATATCTTCAATAAAGAATTAGAGTTACTATTTTTAGGAGTAAAACCAAAAAAATAGAATTAACGTCTAGTGTAAATGATAATTTATTTTTTGTGTATGTACATAATATTAACAAAATTAATGATTTACAATTTAGATTATATAAGTAACTCTTTGTATGTATTCAACTAAAACTTTTTCTTAAACTTATCATTTATATGAAATTTATTATGTATGAACAGATTTCGAATATAAGTTTATATGGTACAAGTTGGAGACTTTAACTGGAATAAATTCGCTACCAGGGACCTGAATACTATACACCTTTTGAACAACTAAATCTGTAAATCCTTACGTAATTGGAAAAAAGCTAGAAGTGCCTGAAAGAGGTATAACAATTACAAGACAACTTATTTTCTTAATAAAAAACATTCTTTCCTTTTTTAATATTATCTCGCTTATTGTTAGAGATGGACCCAATAAACCCTATATGACTATGCTCGAGAGAGAACGTTCTATCCAAATATGTAAAAATATATATCCGTTTAAATTAACAAAGTTAACAACCGCGGCCATTTTGTTTGGACTTCATTTGTTTTTCAAATGTCATTTTCGAAAAATTCATAAAAAATCGTGCAACTTTTGTATTTTACATATTTTTATAACTCTTAAAACAAAAAAGTTAATGGGCGGGTCAAAATATAGTGAATCACCCTATACATTTTCAGTACAATTATACAGCTGACAAGAATGATACAATTAGACTGTGAATAGACGAGGCATCATCCAAAAATGTAAATAAATAAGTCCCCTTTATTTAAATGTCCTTGGACAAAACCTATCACAGATTAGGATGTTTCCAACAAGTAAATGGTGCACATTTTGAGCAATCGTTACCTTGAAAAGTAATAAAATTAACAATTACATTTTAATGTGCAACCCTTAACCTCTTGAAGAATAATAAATATGATCAGTACGCTGGATTCGTCTTTGCGCCACCTGTCCAATGAGGGGTCGCATACCATATTGTTGCAAAAAAAGTTGCATCGAAAACGTAGGTAAATACATTCAAACGTTAACATGTCTCATAGCTGTTTTACATTGACAATTTATTCATCAATAAATTGACGAAGTTCTTCATCAATTAATTCACGAATTTATTGGTAAACAGTGGAGTTTTACATTGCTACAGACTTTGTGAAGTTTTTTGACGTATGAATCAGTTCTACCAATGAATCAAGGAAGAAAATAAATTTCAAAAATGTCACCTTTCCACTCATAATTGTAGTGATACAACAGCGGTACCGTTCTGGCACATATTATATAAATATTAGTTTTTGTAAGTAACAAATCAGTAAAAACAATGCAAAAGTCGCACGACGCCACACAATTATTTACATAATCCAATAACATAACCTCATTACTGATCTGAGGCTGGAAATCTGTTGGGTTGGTACTTCCGACCTTCACGAAGAAATTGACGAAAATTAGAACATGAACTAATTCGTCAAGAACTTGATGAAGTTATTTGACAACTGATTTGGTGCATTACACTAGTCCAATTTCTTGATGAAGCGACTTCATCAATTAATTGATCAATAAATTGTCAATGTAAACAGCTTTCAGGAATTTTTCGAAAAATTATTGAGCTCTCCGGTAGCGAATTTATTTCAGTTAAAGTCTTCACCCTGTATACAATTTACAGTGACCACTAAAACTGCAAGAAATATTATTGTAAACGAATTAATTCATTAGACATATTTTATAAATTATGAAAGGAAGTTAATGTTTAGAAAAAGTTTTGTGTAGATATTAGATAAGCCTACTTTTCCAAAAAGATATACGAGTGCATTTCCAGTAATACATTTCTTACAGTAATTAATAAGTAGTGTATCAGATTTGATTGAATTATCACTGATTTGATAATTGCCAAGGAAATGTAAACTTTCGTTTGGAAATTACAAATTATATTATAAACTGAACAAATTTACATAAAAAAAAATTGTAGACAGCTACAATAAAAGCAACTTTGTTTTTAATAATGTCTCGATTATTTTAATGAACTTAAATATACTTTCCAATTTCATTTAAAAAGATAGAGTGAAAATAAAAAAGTTTGGAAGTGATAGTAACCCCCCAAAATTACTCCTTAAACAACATGTAAAATTGAATAATACTAAATTAATATAGGAACAAATTGGGTAAGATGTGTACATCTACTGTTGTTCCTTATATTGTATCTTTAAATTATTGAAAGTCCTTAGTAGATGCTCGTACATGTGTGTATGAAAATGTACTCCTACATAAACTAGGTTAAAAGTGAAAACCAGGTAATATTAAAATAAGCAGTTAAACAATTAATAATGATTTAATCTGGTCATAAAAAATAGATAAATACAGTTGTTTTATATAAATTACGCTCTGTCACTTGTGTTCCAAACTTCTCTTAATGATAAAAAATATCGCAAAAAGGAAGCAAAAAAGCAAGATTCAATGAAAAGATGTAGTATAAAGGTTTCCACACATTACTAGTCCAATCAATCTGTCACGGCCTTATGTTAAATTTACAAAAAATACCACCCGAAAACAAAAAAATATGGTGATATAGGAAAAAAAAATCTAAGAAAGATAGTGTATTTTTCCCGTGGCGCATAAACGGCGAAGTTAACCTAAAAAAATTCACGTCAAGTGTAAAAAAACAGGTTTTCGCTAATAAAGAAAAAACTTGAACTCCAATCGAAAAAAGTTAAATGAGAAAGTTGTAGCTATTAAAAAAAAACCTGTCGATTCGTATTTTTAAATATATCGATTATTATATTGCTTTTCGAGATATATCGAAAAAACCGTCAAAAATCGACTTTATTCGTTTTTGCTGTATCTCTTACAAATTAAGGTTTTGAAACTTGTTACTTGCTGTAAATGTAGCCCTCGACAAGCAAAAAAGTACCTTTTTTAAAATTAAAAAACATTAAAAATTTTTCGAGATATCGATTTTTCGAAAAAAAGGTGATTTCGAAAATCGGCTCTTCTTGCTCGACGAATAGTCGTAGAGAAACGAATTAGGGCTCATTTTTTTCCTTAATAGTTGTACTTACATGATAAAAAGGGTGAAAATGATTTTATTCATTTCAACTGTCCAAAGATGACTGAAGAAAGTAAAAATTTTTTGCTCGCGTTTTTCTTGAATATCTTTTTCTATGTTCATTTCTCGATCATGTCTATTACAGGAATCAATTGCTGGAATTTATACGCAAATTTAAAAGAACCTTGCTCTACGANTTTATTCATTTCAACTGTCCAAAGATGACTGAAGAAAGTAAAAATTTTTTGCTCGCGTTTTTCTTGAATATCTTTTTCTATGTTCATTTCTCGATCATGTCTATTACAGGAATCAATTGCTGGAATTTATACGCAAATTTAAAAGAACCTTGCTCTACGACCTTCTGGAGCCGAGATAATTTTTTGTTCAAAAAATTCCACATTACATTCTTACAGAGATTGAAGTTGAAGACTTATGTTTTCAATAAAAAAATACTGTGGTTCATTTTAGCCACTTCTTCATTATCTCGACTTCTGGACCACGTACAAAAATTATTTTGTACTTAATTTGGAGTAGCTCGACGAGATAAATCAATATATGACGTTTACGAAGGTAATTATGCTTATGAGGCTGTTGTAAACGTCATATTTTGTTTTATCTCGTCGAGCTACTCCAAATTAAGTACAAAAGAATTTTTGTACGTGGTCCAGAAGTCGAGATAATGAAGATTTTGAAAGTAAGAGCACTTTTGAACGCGCGAATTCAGTTAGCTCGCGCCGCGCTCGAACGCTTCGGTTTGACGCACAATTAAAAATGCAATAGTGGCTAAAATGAACCACAGTAATTTTTTATTGAAAATATAAGTCTTCAATTTCAACAATCTCTGTAAGAATGGTCGCTGTAACACTTAAATAGCGGTCTGTGGAATTTTTTGAGAAAAAAAAATTACCTTGGCTCCAGAAGATCGATTTTTTTAAATTCGCGTAAAAATGCCAGCTATCGATTCTTGTAATAGACATTATCGAGAAATGAACCTAGAAAAAGATATTCAAGAAAAACCCGACGAAAAAATTGTAACTTTTTTTAAAATCATCTTTGGACACTTGAAATGAATAAAATCGTTATCACTCTTTTTTACCATGAAAATACAACTCTTAAAGAACAAAATAAGCCCTGATTCGTTTCTCTACAACTATTTGTCGAGCAAGAAGAGCCGATTTTCGAGTTGACCTTTTTTTTTTCGAAAAATCGTTATAACTCGAAATATTTTTAATATTTTTAATTTAAAAAAAGGTAATTTTTTGCTTGCCGAGGGCTACATTTACAGCAAGTAACAAGTTTAAAAACCTTAATTTACAAGAGATACAGCAAAAGCAAGAAAAGTCGATTTTTGACGGTTTTTTCGATATATCTCGAAAAGTAATTTAGCAATCGATATATTTAAAAATACGAATCGATAGGTGTTTTTTTAATAGCAACAACTTTCTCATTTAACTTTTTTCGATTGGAGCTCAAGTTTTTTCTTTATTAGTGAAAAACCGTTTTTTATTCTTTTAAATTTTTTAGGTTAACGTCGCCGTTTATGCGCCACAGGAAAAATACACTATCTTTCTTAGATTTTTTTCCTATACGGCAACAAAATTCCAACTCATTACATTTTGTTGGTAATTTTCTTTATAATGTCTGTCATTATGAATAAAAATTATAATATCATAGAATAAGGAGTTATATTAGTGTCTAAG